TCCCCCACTCTCGTTTTCTCAAACACTTCCTCTCGGCATACCATGATCAGTCTCCGACTAATCATTTCCCCTCTCTATCTTTCTCCCTCTTTCTCTCCCTTGCTCCCTCCCTCCAATCAGTCTCCAACTGATCATCCTCACTCTATCTTTCTCCCTCTTGTCTCCCTTGCTCCCTCGTTCTCTTCCTCCCCCCTCCCACGATCAGTCTTCAACTAATCATTGCCCTCCCTTTCTCCCTCTTTCTCGCCCTTGCTCCCTCCTCTCGTCTGTCCCCTTCCTCCCCGCCTTCCCTCCCTCACTCACTCCTTGCTCAGTCTCTCAGCTTCCATGCAACCAGTGAACAAACAGTATAGTGTTCCCACAGTAAGAATACAACAACAATAAAAGTGTAGGATCGCATGGCATCCACAGAAAGCGAGGCCATGTCTCAACACCATGCGTTGCTGTTGCACAGCAGAAAAGGAGGGGCAGATTAGACGCCCTTAACCACATGCGATTGTTTCAGAATAGGCAGCTCACACCCTCTGTGATATGACCTAAGCTTCACTCTCAATGCATCCGCAGCAACAACCCAGTATTATTTTTTTCACAAAATATGTTGGGCCTCATGATCTTTGGCTCACGTTGCCATTCCATAGCTTCAGTAAATAAACCCATGATTCACCGCTATCGCATAACCAAAGTCGCAGCATCTTACCGAAAACACCAAGAAGCATCAGGTACTTCTGACAAAATTCATGGTGCCAATTTTTTATATAACGAGTGCTGGCTCCCAGTGCAACCTCATCAAAAGCTATGAATGTTTTATCTTCCCTTGCGGGATTGTGACGAGTCCTACACCACACTTGAGTAAGAGCACAAACGTACACTGTTTGTACACAGACCTCCAGAACAAGTGGTTGTTACCAAGGCAGCCCCGGGTGAACCACAAAAGCAACCAGACACGCCTGCTCCTGAACTATCGAGTAGAGGTACGACTGCACACAATATTTTGGGCATCATGATCATAGGCTCACATTACCATTC